AGATGATTGTTTTTTTTTTAGAAATCGTATCTTTATTTCAACAATTTTGTAAATATATAGAAGATCCCAAAAATGTGGAAACATTTGTTATCTAATTATTTTTAAAATAATTTCAAACAACAATTTTTTTTATAAAAACTTTTATTACAGCTTTGTTAACGAATTATTAATAAAAAAATACTAATATACTCAATCATTGAATGTGTAATCTAATCAAACGTTGTTTGCTATGTTTGCTATTAATCGAACAAACAAGTTCAAATAACATATATTGTTGAAGTATATTGAAGTTTATTTATTCAATATCGAAAATATGTTTGTAATTTATATACTGTTCGTAATATAATTTGATATAATTTTTTAATTCATATCGATAAAAAAATTTTTTTATTGAAAAAATATTTATCATATTTAATATTTTTTTAATTAAATTTAGTCATGCTCCAAATGATTAAAGTTACAATAGCAATATTATTTGATATGTGTATTTCACTATGTTTTGTTTAATTAAAAATAATGATCAATTAAGAAAATGAATATATTTTCAATGTATGTTTTATGTTTCACGATTTTATTATGCTAATTAATTAGTACCAATCATCAGGTTTCAATTATTAATATCATCTTTCCAATTTATGAATTCTAATATTAGATTCGAATTATAATTTTTAAATTTAAAAATATCTCTTCTGATTTTTAAATTTAAATATCTTTTAAATTAATGATTTGTTAACAGAATTAAATTGTATTTTTTTATAGGAAATTATTATCAATAAATTATTTAATGTATTCAAAATTATCATTTTATTTAAAAAAAAATATGATTGAAATCTTGTATACTTAAATTACAAAAAAATAATTTATACATGATACATTTTTTGAACTAAATAACTCTTGTAAAACATTTTTTTGATAATTTCAATCTCTCATAAGATGTTCCATTGTTTGTACAGGAAAATCTTGTATAAAATAAACAAGCGGCAATCGCATATTGACGTATGGTAAGTACTATATATAACGGATATACATAGGCAAAATTTATTCACTTAATAATAGTAATTTTTTGTTAAAATTTTTATTAAAATTAAAATCTAACATATAGAGAAAAATTATTCAAAATTTTATTTTTTCTAATATATTTTAAAATCATCAAAATCAATGAGAAATTTTTCTTTATTTCTAATTAAAAAAAAGTAAAAAAAAATTAAATTAAATTAAATTCTCAAATTAAATAATAATCAATTAATATTAATTATGATAAATGTTTTTTCATATTTTTAGTTAAATAAATATTTTAATTAAATAAATAACATTTAAATCAGAATATATTATATAGGAACTTTTTAAACTTTTTATTATATCTATAAAAATTTTTACATTATACATGTTAAAAATTATATATATATATATACTATATATATGTGTATGTATTAGTTATTCATAAAAAAAATAATATACAAAAAAATGTTCGGTTCAACATATACTTAACATTAACTATCTATAATCTAAATTAATTCTAGATCTAATTTTTATTAATTATAGATAAAATAAAATAAAATAAAATAAAAAATAATAATAAATATAATAATAAAAATTTATAATAAAATAACTAAAATAATAATAAAATAGTAATATAAATTAACAATTTTGATTTTCTTAGTTTTATAAAACATTTTAAGCAATCTTATTGTTATTACAAAAGATTAAAAATTATTTTTTGTTAACAATATATTCTATTTTTATTATATTTTATTCTTACTTTAAATGAATTTATTATTTCTTTTTAGTATATGTTGTTTATCTATTACATGATCTAATTGTTTGTATGAGAATGTTCATACAACTGTATAAGATTTATTAATTTAGATAATTTAGTTCATTGATAAATTAAATTTGCTTAAGCAATAACTTAAATTCTTAAACTTATATTTTATTTAATTGAAAATGCGTTTTTTTTTTGTTTATTTTGCAATGCTCAGAGAATTTTTCATTTTGTGAATATTTACATACAAATTGTAATTGTACTATATTTAATATTATTTAATATTATATTTATGATTATTTATATATTACATATGACTTTATAATAAATAACAAAAATAAAAAATTGATTTATTGTATATTAAAAGTAATTCAACAATATAGATCATTATGATATCTTTATAATAATAACATCTAATTAATAATTATAATAACAAAAATATTCAGATGCTTCATATTTTTACTTTACTTAATATTAATATTTTATTGGATAATTAATGTTATTTATATATTATAATTGTGTTAATCGATATACTATAAACTAATGATTTTGTAAAAATACAATCAATAGAATTTCATACTTTTATAATTTTTTTTTGTTTATGATATTAATTGAAATTTTTGCACATTTCAGTTTATAAAGTTTTAATAAATTAATATTTGGTCTTTGCAGTGAAATATTTAATATTATATATAATTTATATATAATGGATTTTTTTTATTTTTCATTCAAGCTATGTTTTGAATCATTATTTTATTGGAAATGAAAATCTTTCAATAATCTCAATTTAATAATATTATCTTTGAAATTAATCGTAAAAAATATATTTAAATATATTTATCGAGTATTCCATTGATAAATTTATTAGCAATCATATAATCCTACATCATAATAGAACAATTTATATAATTTATTATTCAATTTTCCAATTCCATATTTTTTTTTTTTATCTTTTCCATATAGCTATCTCTAAAAATTACAATGTGTTAAAGAAGCACATCATATTTATACACATATAACAAGACATATTTAAAATAAGAAAATTAAATTTTTATTTGTATATGCAAGATATTTTTGTCCTATAAATCTTTTTATTATCAAAATAAAGAAATAATCAGATTAACAATAAATGCTATAAAATTTTTACTATTATCATTAATAATTTGGAACAAATTGATTTAAATGTAGACTATATGTTGCTAGCAATGTTTTAAAATTAAAAATAAAATTCAAATATTTCTCAGATTATTCTTTAATGTGGATTAAATATTTCTTTATATAAATGTTTGTTTTAAATATCTTAAAACATATAACAAAAGAGCAAAGAAATATTATTTCAGTTTAAGATTCATCAATATATAATAATTTTCAATTTCTTTGTCAAACATTTCAATTCATATTTATGAGATGAGGAATTTTTTCTTATAGAATGATAATTTCTTCATTTTTTTCAATCAATTTTTTTGTTCAACTTAAATTTCATTTGTAATAATTTTTTTTTAATTTTAACTTATTTACAATACAATATCATGGATTTATTTTTATTTAAAATTTTTGCAATCTCATTGTGAAATCGATTTTCCTTATACAATCGTAATATTATCTTTCATTTATATTTTTGTGTTTCTAATTTTTCGATATTTATTTTAATTACTACACTGCATAATTTTATATATTTATATTATATAAAATATCTTTTTATTGAAATGACATCTTAACATCAAATAAATACTGATACTTTCATTTAATGTCAATATTTATCTTTTTTGCTATAAAAAAATATGAAACGTTCGTTATTTTTGAGTCATTAAAAATTATTACTTTTATATTATTAAGTTATTTTCAAATTTTATTGATATAATCTTGAGACTTCCTTCTTATTATTAAATACTAAATTGTTTAAACAAATTTAATATACGTATTTCATTCATTAAAGATTGTAAAAGCGTTCGAAATTATATATTTATTTAAAAAGTAAACATAATTCCTATATTGATCGTAATAAATCATAGAGGGCATAAAAGATATTTTATTTTTTTGAGTTGGTATTTTTAAAACATATAACATGAAGTCTTATGAGATGTTTATCTATTCTGTATTTTGTTGTGCTTGTATTTAAAATATACTGTGATTTTAAGTAAAAAGTTTGATATTGGTATTTTGATAATAATTAGTAATCACAGCGATTATGTGATTTGTTTACTTTTAGTGATTTGAATCAGTGAAATATGTAATGCATAAATATATATATATATATAAATATGTAATACATAACGTATATTTAAAATGTAAAATATAATAAAAAAAAAACAATATTTAAAATTAAAATATTATTTTTATAATTATTTAATCTTTGTTTTTTTAGATATTTTTTATATACAAACATAATAATATAAATGTAGTAATAAATTAATTATACCACATGTAAATATTTCTATAAATATCATAAAATTTCTATTATAAAATATAATTTGAGTTCTCTTACATTAAGAAATATAAAATAGTTATTAAAAGAAGTACTTTTTATGAACATACATATATATATAATATATGTGTATGCATAATATATATTTCTTGATATGTAATTTTTACTAATATTAAACATGATATTAAATCTCAGAAATTGAAACATTGTCTACATAAGTATTAGCGCTATATTATTAAATTTATAAATATCTATTAATCGTGAGTTACGAAATTATAATATTTAATAGGTTAAGTATTTTTTTTTTTTAATTATAATATTATTTAATATTATTTTTTTAATTATAATATTAATTATTTTAATATTTATTGTTTAAACGAAAAAGTAATCATGTATAAAATGTGTATAATTAATAATGCTTGATTATTACTTTAAAAATGAAGTAAATAAATGCTTAACAACAAAATTACAACAAAATTACTTAAAAATAAATAAAAAATAATGATTTGATTAGTTGCTATTTTGATTTGAAAATATGAAATAAATAAAATTTATATATATTTTTAATTCCTTATAATTCTTTTAAGATATTTTTTATTTTCTTATAATTCTTTTAAGATATTAAAAATTAATTAATTTATAATATTTTAATTATTTCAATATATTTTTTATAATTATTACAAATGCAAATTTTGTTATATAGTTTTATATTAATGTTTTGTATTTCAACTTGGAATTCTATCTATTCATTACTATTCCAATAAGTTTTTAAAAATGTTTTATATTATATATATTATAAGTCAATTTAATTTTTAAAAAATCTAATATAATGTAATATAAATAGGTACAAGTTATTATTATTTTTATTCATTTTACATAACATAAAATTACTTGTAAAATGATTATTGATATAAATTTGTCTTATAGTTGAGATGCGAAGCATTAACATATATTATATTTATAATGTAAAAATCACATATTATAAAAGTATTTTATTGTATTCTATTTTAGAATAAAAATTTCATATCCAACTCAAAATGGTTTGTGAAAAGTGTGAAAAGAAATTAGGAAAAGTCATAACTCCAGATCCTTGGAAAAACGGTGCAAGAAATACAGTAGAAAGTGGAGGACGTAAAGTTGGAGAAAATAAAGCACTTTCTGCAGGAAAGGCAAGATTTAATCCTTATACTACTACTTTTGAGACATGCAGAATATGTAGGCAAAAAGTACATCAAGTTGGTTCACATTATTGTCAATCATGTGCATATAAGAAAGCTATATGTGCAATGTGTGGTAAAAAATTAATGAGTACAAAAAATTATAAACAATCTGCTACATAGAAATTCATTTGTTATTATATTATATCAATTATAAAATTAATTTAAAAGAATTAATTTCATTTAAACAAACATATTATACTAATTCAAATAATAGAACTAAATATATTTTTGTGATTTTAATAAAATATGATGAATAAATACTAAAACAAATTTTTTTTTGTAAAAGAAAAATTAAATTTATTATTTAGAGTTTAATTTTATATTTGAAAAACTTTTTATGAAATAATTTAATATTTAAAAATAATAAAAATTGATAAATTATATAAAAAAATTAATTGAATTTTATTTTTTAAATGTAATCTAAGAAATCTTGTATTGTATTAGTATAGTAAAATAAAAAATCCTTTAAGAAAAAAATATCTAACTGATTAAAATGCATTATTTAATAAGATAATGTAATATATATAATGTAATAATAGATAATGTAATATATTATTATAAAATTCTAATAATCTTATTAGAATTAACTATCATTTCGAAAGTATTATTTAATAATGCAATAGTAAAAATTCAATATATTCATTTGAAAAAAATACAAATTATTAAAATTTTTAAATGTAAAATAAATAATATAATTTAAATATGAAGTAAAAATAAATACTATATATATACATATAAATTCTATATTAAATTTGTTCTTAAATTATTTATTATAATAGATTTTTCATGAAATAACTATAATTTTATTATTATATTAAAAATATTATTATAAGTTTTTGTAAAAATATATTTTTGAATTTTTTATATAATATAATAGTTTTTTTTATTTAAAAATATATATTAGATGTTTATTTAGTTTTATTTAAAATTATTTAAAATGTATATAAACAAATTAATAGCATTAAATATTTTAAAATTATAAATTTTATTTGAGATTTTCATTATACTTCAGTTTTTTCTAGACAAACTTTATGTATTCTATAGATTAAAACAATATTTGTAACAGCCATTAGAAGATGTTATAATATTTTTACAACTTTATTTCAAAATGTCTAACATTCTTTGCTAAAATAAAACAAAATCAAAAGAATTTTAAAGAATTTTAAATTCAATCTTTTATTGCTGTCAATTTTATATTGATGAGAATAGTAAATATTTTCAGATTGCAGAAATTGCAATTGGAAGTACTATGACATCTTGTAATAATTATTACATTTATATTACTGATTTAATTTTCTTAAAGAGTATATTATTTATCACTAATTTTATATTTTAATTTATCATTATAATTCTTTAACAATACTTTTAATAGTATATGTTTACATAAAATTTTAATTTATAGAATACATAAAGTCAAAATTTGATCGCATAAAGGATACTTTATATGTATTTTATTTTATTTTATTTTACACTTGTACTACAATTAACTTATTATTGTACTACTCTCAATCATTAATCGATAGTTAAGTGTCATTAAATTTTAGCAAACTTTCTGTCATTTTTATTTATTTTATTATTTTATGCTTATTCTTAATTAAGTCTATATCATATAATTAATAGTTATATGTGTTGTTAATGTATATATATTGATAAATATTATTTGATTTTGATAAATTTCATTATAATAATATGTTAATATTCATATAATATTCAATAATATTCATTTATAATAATATGTTAAATCATAGCTGTTATTTTTTATATTTATATTTTTTTTACATTTTTTATATTTCTGAATGGATCAAGATTTATAATGTAATAAAATTATAATCAAATTAACTCAAAATTTTTTGATAATAAAATAATTTTTTCCCATCATTTTAGTAATCATATTCTGGAATTCTAATTCATGCAATAAATCTAACAAATAAATTTAAAATTCACTGAATGCAGATCTCTTTGAAATATTTATCCTTCAAAGAGATGCTGCCCATTCTTATTAGAGAAAGTATACTGTATTTTTTATTCTATTTAATAATGGTATTCATTGTCATTAACTAGATAATTTTTGTCCTATAACGAATAATATATTAAAAAAATCTCTCTCTCCTTTTTTAGCTAATTTATATTATTAACAATTTTGTTTTTAATTTTCTTAACAGAATATGTTTTTAACATTACTGAGCTCTCTTTGTTTTCTTTTTTATATAATAGTTTGAAATTTTTAAATAATAAACTTAAAACCAGCAAATATTTAATTATATATATAATGCCAAAACTATCATTTTTGTAACCATATCAGAATTGTATATGTACTGAAAGAAATTTTAATTATTAAATTAAAAACTTATAAATGGACATTTATAAAAGTTACTGAATATATCCAAGTATCAAATCTGAGCATAAGTCTAAAATTCATTAAATAAAATTCATATGAATAAAATTTATGAATTATAATTAAAAATATCTTTTCTGTTTTTATTTTTTCCTACATAAAAAATAACATTATAATAGATAGAAACTAAAAATTATTTTTAGTGTGATATAGTGTTATATCATAACATATATATATTTAATTTACAAAAAGTTGTGACTATCGATATAATTATCGATAAATATTGATAATATTATTATATATTTATAAAAATTCATTATTTATAAAAAATTGGGAATGTAAATTGGTATCTATGGTGAAAATTTTAAAATAAAACTTTGAATTTTTATTAATTTTTTTTTTTATAAGACTGCTTTGAAATTTAAAAATAGAAGATCTTATGTTTGATTCGATTTCTATATTAACTGATAATTTTTTTTCTATTTTTTATATTTTTTTAAAATCGTAGTCTAATAATGTTTTCATTCTGTATTTGATATTTCTTTTTGCTGATGTCAATTTATTTTCGAGCGTGTAAAAATAAAAAAAAATCATCATTGTGTAAGAGCGGCATAATGCAAAGGAAAAGTACAGTTAGAAAAATAGAACAACTTTATTAAAAATTTATAACTTTTTTGGAATACATAAAGACATAAAACAAAATATATTGTGAAAAATTTGAATATTTTGAAGTATCGTATAAATCTTAATCAAAAATTAATTTAGTTTGCTTCTTAATAAATTAATTTTATAAATTGTTTGAGTGAATTGCTCTTGTTTATCAGCTTTTGACTTTTTCTATGATTAATCGTTCAGTGAATACTTAAATATTCACATCTATTTAACAGATTTTGAAAAATTCATTTTCACTTTATTGGTAATATTGAAGCCACATTTAAGGAATTGATTTATAATATTATTAAAGTTAATTTCACACGATAATATAAAAATAAACTGATAATTCGATATATCAACAATATTATTAAAATATTTGTAATAAAAGAAAATAACTGGATTTTCAATTCTTTTTTATTCAAAATTGATATTGAGAAAAAAATCAAAATTGACTTATGAAACGGCCAAAATAGCTAAAATTTGATAAATAATTAATAAAAAAAAATAAATAAAAATAAAAATAGAATTATACATGATATTTATTATATTTTTGTTATATTTTTATATAATACTTAGCTAATTTAATCATTTCAAATAATTATTAAATAGAAGATTTTATAAAAATTATACATAGACATAGGATTTAAATGGTTTCGAGGAGTATATTTTATAACGTACGTGTTTTTTATGTGGAGTTATTTTAGAAATTTTAAGATCATTTTGATTTTTTAAATGGAATGATCTGCTTTTTATATTAATTAATATTTTAATTGATAAATAAATTCTGAATAAAAATGTATTGATTTTCTTAAATATAATATATATTCTATCCTAGATCTTCCTAAATGTAATAATTAATGAAATTATTTACTTACTCTCTAGAAATTAAAATAAGTGCTTTTTGTTTCTTAACTTTAATACAGCAATGTAATTTATTTCTGAAGAAATATTGTGAAATAAGTATTGATTGAAATAAGTATGATACACATTATAAAACATATTATGAAATAAGTATTTACACGTTTCTGAAGTTTTTATTTGATATTTTCTATCATTAATTAATTCATATTTTATTTTTTTTGAAAGTTCCTTACAAAAAATCTAACAGAATAAGATTTGATGAACGTTTTGGTCATGGAAATTCTTCATTGTAAGTAAAATCGATTTGGAAATTGTGCTCTCAATATTTACTTTTTTTGTACAAAAAATTTGTTTAATTGAATCAATAGTGTTGATATATTAGTCATCGATCAAGCATGAATAAATCCAAATAACATATCTCAAAGAAAACGTATTAAATATAATAAATGTTTTTTTTTTCGATAAAAAGTTATATTGAATCATGAATAATAAATTAATTAATTGTTGTGTTATTGATAAAATTGTAATATAAAAAAATCAAAATTTTTTTAAAATGAACAATTAATATTACATATTTGAAATAAAATAATAAATCATAAATTATAATTATATTAAATTAAAAAATAATTCATCAGTAAATAAATAAAATTAGTTATTCATTAAAAAATCCAACTTGAGCTTTGAAATATGCCAATAGATCATTGTTTTCTGTATTCTTTCTTAACATTGACAAACAAACTAATTTTTGATACTTTTACATAACATTAAATAGATTACAAATAAAACATCATTAAAAAATAATTATATAATTATAAAATAAACATATATTATATTGGATCAACATATCGTTCATTTCGTTACACTATTATAAGTGATCACTTATATTTCAGTAATTCCAGAAGAGAATTTTGAATTATCTCTAAAAAAATATTGATATCTAAAAAGAACCGATTTTTTTATGATAAATAAAATTTTATATGTCTATTCTTTGCTATAACTTTGCTTCTGCATTCTCTTTGAGAATATGATATATTGTTGATATATGCGTCATTGAAAAGAACAAAATAATTTTTATAATGAAATGAATTATTAATATATTATTATAACAAATATTTTATATTATTATTATTAACAATATTCTTTATTAGAATATATTAATTAGAATATATTAGAATATTATTAACAAATATTAATCAAAATATTAAACAAATTTAAATCAATTGATAATTAATTTCATTTGTAATGAAAGTCACCTCAGATATAATAAATATTCTACTAATGGTATTGTCTTTTTCAATTTTAACTGCAATGATTGTATGGATGATCCTTCTTTTATGAAGTATCCGTGTTGTATGCACAAATAATCCGAAATT